CTAATTTGAAATGGGCAGACGAGAAAGTCAAAATCCCTTTCTTCGAGTGTAGCTGGCACTTCCAGCATACGTTATCCTTGTTGAAGTGCAAGTTTAAATCTAAGAAGTGCAGCCTCTTAGACGCCATGGTTTGGTGGGTGAAGGTGATACAATGTGATTTTGAGGAATACACATCTGTCGTCCTGTTGATAAGGTCATCGGTGCAGACATAGGGTTGTGGCCCAAGCGCCAAAAAATCATCCACATAACGGAAAACCTTGAAGCTCTCCCCCATGCCTAGGCCTTTAGAAATTCCCGTCATATTCAAATAATACCCGTGCCACACGGGCAACCCGAATGCCATTTACAACGAATGACATTTGAGCGGACGGCCAATCAGCGCGCGATACTCCGGGCGCAGCGCATTCCACGCGCGACAGATTGCGAGCTGATTCGCCGATCACACAAATGTCATTTGTTGTAAATGGAATTCGAGTTGCCCGTGTGGCACGGGTATTAAAAGACACCTCACAGTACTGGTGCAACTCGTAATCCAATCCATATCCCATGCTTCTGGACATATAAGTTTTCTTCAAACGACAAAACAGTTGAAGATAAGTACAAAGTTAGCACTGTACCTTGTACTTATCTTTAACTGTAGTGTTTTTTGAAGAAAACTTGTATCTCCAGAAGTAAGGAATATGCGTTGGATCGCAAGTTTCACCAGTGTTTTGTAATATCTTTTTAGTTGAATATGACAGGAGATTTTCCAAGGGCCTAGACATGGGGGAGAGCTTCATGCCTTTCCGCTACGCGAGTGATTTTTGGTGCTTGTGCCACAATCCTACGTCTGCAACGATGACCTTATCAATAGGTCGATAGCTGCGTTATCCTCATAATTACATGGTCTCCCCTTCACCCACCAAACCATGGCGTCTAAGAGGTTTCAGTTTTTAGATTTCTACTTGCACTTCAACAGGAACCACGTTTGCTGGAAGCATCAGCCACGCTCGAAGAAAGGTGTTTTGACTTTCTCGTCTGCCCCATTCCAAATTAGTGGAACGAGGCATTGCGTAGCTTCCCTAGGTAAGTCGTGCAAGCGTACTATGTGCAAAAACAGTGAGTGCGCAGGCGAGCTGGTGGAAGTTGAACGTGATGTAGAATACCAGAGAGTGTGGTAAAATCTCGGAAACTTGGTAGAAGAAAAAAGACAGGGGAAAAGAACGTCTCCTGCCTTTTTTCTTCGGCCAAGTTTCCTAGCTTTTACCACAATTTCGGGTATTCTACATCATGATACTATCTGTGTTAAATCATTTGATCAGGTGAGCCGCCTCCAATTACCGGGCTATCCAAAACGTTTCGTGAAAGAAGTTGCACAAATCCTCGTTTCAAAATATAAAGCAAGACACGGAAAAGAAACAGCCGCCAGAAAAAAAAACACAAGACCAGAGGTAATCCCATACGTCCATAGGCTGTCCCAGAACCTCAAGGGAGTTAACGCACACTTTGATGTGCCCGTGGTGCTCTCTATCGCGTCTGCATTGTGTTGATCGTGCTCAAGTGTCAACACAAAAAAAAACGGAAGCATGTGCTAAGAAACACGCAGCGCAGCAGGTTTATTCTGCAACGTGTATAAATGGCAAAGCAGGTGAGCATGCCCCATCTGCCAGAAGCTCCCCATCGGGCAATCTTGTTATTCATTGTGATAGGTGCCCCAATACGCCTAATCTTGAAGATACTATGATTGTAGGAAAATTTTAATATAAACCAGGGAGATAATCATTTTAGGCCTATTGCATAAGAGTGGAGATCGTGGATAGCTGCGTAAGTGTACCGTTGGTGCACCTAACCGAAAAAGAATTTGCTCTTTTGTGACGGGAGTACCATTGCGTGTAGAAGTAATGAGTGTGTTTTCAATAAACGTTCGGTTGTAAGCAGCGCTTGGTCCTGTCCACCGTGGTCCTGTCCCCTTCTTTCTCGTGTCCACGTATTTTGAGGCGCTTTTTCAGTTAAATGTGTACCAACTAGCTCACTTAGCCATTTTACTGTAAAAGGCTTTTCTTGTTTTTTATATCACTTTCAATTGAGAAAAAAGTTTTCTTCGATAGTTTCCCAAAACACACGCACTGCCTAATCGCACCATCGTGCTAAATTTGGGTCGTGGCTATTGAAACTGATTCCTGCACTTTGTTTGAACTCTAAGACGCATTAATTCGCTAAACTGCCTACCAAAGTTAATCGATATGAAAATTAATTCGCAATAGTATATGTTCCGGCTAATAAACCACCATTTGATACAATTGTTTTGGCATTTCAGACTAGAAAACCGTGAGTAGAAATCTCCGACGTTCTGCCTGGGAGGAATGCTTCTCCACAAATGCTGGTACGCTGTGGAGAAGCGGTAAAATATAGCGGCCCACACGCAGTGGATGTCTCACTCGACAGCGCCATAGCTTCCAGGTTTGATCAAGTGAAAGGTTACAGACACTGCTATCAATTCGTTTAATCCAAGACGTGCCTATTGGGCATCTCGGAACATTGCACGACACTATTCTGGGTACGCTTTGCATTGGTAAGGATTTTGGATTTCACTCGCATATTAGAGAGTTTTAGTAGATCGTGTTTTCAGGTCACGCTTTTTGTAGAGGTAGCTCGCGCTGCCGCTTCAATGCATGCTCTGAAGCGCGTGCCTGTAGCGGTAGCGGGCCTTTAAAAACGATCTACTAAAACTTTCTATTATCCGTGTACACCATAATCGCGAAACATTCAGGTTATTTGATGCAAAACTTAGCCGCTGCCACCCGTTCAGATTTTTATTTCTCTTCCCCTGATGTCATTCAAATGGGAATCTGGACCAATTTCAAAGAGTGCTTCTATTTCGGAGTCCCCGTCTCAAAATATAAGCGTTCTACAGGACAGCTCCAAACTCATAGAAAGTATCAGGACGTAAGTATTTTTGTTAAACAAATGTCCTATCCAAAAACTTAAAAAAAAAAAAAAAAAAAAATTCGAGGACATTTTGGTGTCGATAAGAAATTGACCACGCCATTTGGCATAATGCTACGTTTCGTAAGCGATCTTCTAACATTCGTGCTGAAGTGCTTGGCGCTATGCTGTACTGGAAAACGTTGGGGTACGAAAAGCGAGCTAAACAATTCAAGGTTTGCGAATAACTAAAGTCCCGCTATGCTCGACAGTAACGCAATACCCCCTCTCCGCTACGGTTCTCTCTCTATCAATCATCATGCCCACACCAGTCTCGCCCTCTTTCTCTGGTGGAAGGCAGGATCACGTGTTCGAACAAAAGGCGATGTCGCTCAAGTCGCCTCTCTGTAAGTTGGAAAGGCAACTTGCTACAAGTCATTTCGAGATCACACAAGTCATCATCATCATCATCATTTATTAAACCTTGAAGGCCATTGCGGGCATTACACGAGGTGAGAGTAACTGCTGAAGAAACATTATATAAAGGAACAAACAAAAAAGTGGGTTACATGCTGGAAAACATTGTTATATAAAGCAGCAAAAACAGGAAAAAAACACTTTAAAAATTTTTAGGGAAAAACAGCTGATGAAACAAAAAAAATATCCAAATTGAAACATTTCCATAAACACGAGTTGACTTTGCTATTAGTGCAAATGCAGATGGATGGTCAGTTGGGATATGAATGTATTATGATCTGTCTGGTGTTCATGATACTGTTGCGCAGGCTATTCCAGTCCGTTACTCTGAATGGCAAGGTGGAGTTAAAAAACGAAACTGACGAGGCGAAAATTGGACGAACTTTACAGACGTTATCAATGCGAGGAAATATGCGAGTGGCTGGGGATAATAGTGAAATTCTGATGTCATGGTTATCGTTTATGTTTCGAAAGTGATCGTTTGTGTTTCGAAAGCCATACACCTTGGATGGGTCACCGGAAATTTAAAATGACATTGCAAACACCAAACCGCAGGAGAGGAGAAGGAGAGTCAGTCTCCCTACCGCTAGCTAATTTTTATGTTTCTTTGAAATCGTACATTGCACTTTAGTCATAATGTTATTGTTCGTATCGCTTGCTGTAAACATATGTCATTAAAATTTAAGTGTTCCATAAGTTCAAAACAATTACAGGGGTGTTTTAGGGGACAGTTCTGATGACTCCGACAACGATAGGCGGTACTCCGCCCGATGCGCGGTACTCCGCCGACGCCTTTGCCCATGCGTCACGTCGATATTGGGTATCGTCATCGGAGGTATTGGAACGAACTACTATATCTCCCTACTGTATGTAGAAACGATAGGAGTCTAGCGACGCAATGAGGCTCTCATTGCAAGAAGGGGGGGAGGGACATACTGGTGAAAGTTGACTGTCAGGTGCGACCTTTGTGCTTATAAACTCCACATCTGAAATGGTACTAACGTCTTTCTTTATAACATATAATTGTGCCGTTATGCGACTCCGAGGCAAGAGCAAAATATAAACTGTTTTGGCAGAAGACGCGCAATCGCACACATGTAGGTGCTCGAAAGAAGATCTCTGCGTACATCGCACGCAGCCCTCTACAAAAGCAACGAAGGCAGACACAGTTCTATAAAGGATCTGTTGCATCTTAGGTGCAGTAGACAGTAAGCTATGAGCAATATCTGGGTCGATGCAGCGCCTGGAACGTCCCATATAAACCTGCGCTCCGCGTCTAATCGGAAGATTGCATAGATCACGGAATCCTTCGAGCGCAGCGAGCTGTTCCGGCGCTCACGGTGCTATACAAAATCGGAAGTTTTCTAGCCTTCTTCACAGTCCACCTACTGAGTATAGATGGTTGTGTGAAGCTACATTACGGAATTATAATTTGTTTTTATTTATGAGGAGATGATTAACATATTGTAAGACCATTAGAGTGCGCATTTGTTTCGTCCAAAAAATAAGCTATGAACCTAAATCTGGCTTCACCGTTTACCTTTCAAGTAAATTAAACGATTAAGCGTTATCAGCATTATTGCAAAACTGAATATCTTTCTCCTTTTTTTACATTTCAGAGGAACCCAACCGGATCAGAGAATGCCAACTACTGAACAAAACACTCACGTCCCTGCTTATAGAGTGCCAGCGGAAAAGTGACGACCACCACATTTTCGTGCTAGAACTGCATGACGTAAGCAACAACCTGCTTGTCAAGAGGGTTACATCACCGACACCGAGATTCCACATCAGTGAACTGCACCCGACTAACTACTATACCATCCTTGTGTACACAACTAATGGCGTCGAAAGCAGCAGAACACTCAATATATCGATCACATCAACAAAAGCAGCAATGTCCAAAACACGTGAGTGCCACTCTAGCATTTCTAAAGCGCGCTCAGCTATTACATTAAAGCATTATATAATTATTTCCTCGAGGTCTATGTCTAATACAATAATTAGGGAATAGAAAAACTTTATGTAAATTTCCTTCCATTATCAAATCAGTACAAATTACGTCAACTGGTTTGTATCATTTGTTAGCTAAAGATCTAGTTTATACTAATGAGCCACCCAGAAGTAACTAAAGGTTACTTCTGGGTGACGCTTCCGTCGCTTTTTTACGTATTAGCTTTGACATCACAATCTCTTAGCGACTTAAACATTCCGAACCTATATATCAGAAAAAGTAATTACATTAGTAATTGTATTTTATTGCATAAAGCACTGGGGTATAATATATCAACAAGGAAAAAAAGTTTCTTCACGCCGTTGGGGTGTCTTTCTTCCTTATTAATCCATAGTGTCAGAATCGCCTTTGAAACCTTAATAAATTTAAGTACCCCATAAATTCACATATTTCGTATTAAACATGCAACAATTATTTGAAAAATTCTGAAAATGTAGGAGTAATTACGATACCCGTTAGCGAGCTGCTTCAGTTCAAATAAATGTTGCTTACTTACGAACATAAAGAGGATAATAAAAACTTCTCGCGTAAAATTTTTAAAACTTTTTTTCAGTGAACAACGGCAATCCGGAACCCCAGAGCAACTTGGCAACCATAGTAGGCCTCTTCATGAGTGGTGTTGTAGTTTTCGGGGTCATCGTGTCAATAGCGTGCTTCTGTAAAAAGCATCATAGGCACAAGGTGAGACATTTCTTTTTGACGGAAGATCACAAATACTCAAAGGCCTTTGTTAAAATTACTTACGAAATCGGCAGAAAATTAATTTTTCTGAAATCAAAGAGTCTGATGATTCAAAAAGCACTACGTGTCTCAACTTAAAAAAAAAAAATCTAAAAATAACAGTTGCAAGGGTAGTATTGACATTGATTGTTACCTTCTCGGGCATATTAACATACTTGCATACAAATTAAAAGCATAATACGAGTCAGGTGTTACCAACAAATACAAGGCTAAGGACATAAATTTTATTTGTGTGTTGTTTAGTGTCCGATGCGTACGTTGTGTGTTAAAATATCCAGACCTTAGACCTTATATAAGGTATTTTGTGACTTAAAAGTCCTTATCAGAATGTCATTATGTAGTAAAATTCTTGAAATTAAGGCAGAATACAGAGTGATAATCAAATTACTAGGAGGATTTGTTTCTTTAAATTTAAATGGGGATCTCAATTTTAAAGTTTTAATGTTTATTTTCTTTCGTGCTAAACAACGGCTCAAATGCCTTTTCAGTAAAGGACCACACAACCATATACACAATTGCAAAAATGCACATGATAAAATTTATACACCTGCATAAATTTACACATATGAATAAATTTATACTCATACTTAAATTCCCATACACGCTTCAAAATTCCCTTTTTTACCGACACATTTGTGAAAAGAAATCCAAAAATGGTAAACTCAGTGTTTAAAATATGCTGTATTTGCGAAATCGGTGAAAAGTAGTGTTAAATATCTAAACAAAAAGCTAGCATTTATACAATTTGCATTAACAGGAATGCGGAAGCTTAAAGAAGCCAGAATTCTTTTGAACTATAAATTACCCTATGTAAAAATGTTACATCTCGAACAAATATTCTTTTAAAAAGACAGCCTTATTTTAATTGTTCTAAGATCAAATTATATTTATGATAGCCATGCAGACCTAAATATTTATGGTATGTTAGTCGTACAAATTGTTTTCCTATGCGTTCAACATTCACTCGCTGAAATAGAAATGGAGATCTATGTCCCAGTCTGGAGCGCACATGAGTACAATATTGCGCGGCCGTGGCCTAACGGTTATCGTGCTTGCCTCCCACGCGAAGAGCCAAGGTTCAATTCCCGGGAGTTACGCATTCTTTTATTCATTCTTGCAGTTTAATGTTCTGGTGAATTCGAGAGTTCGAGGTGCGAATGTTCTAGTCGCCGAACCTTCTAGGTCGATTGTTCCAGAAACCAACTGGTACATAAGGGGCCCCGCGTGGCGTCAGTTAGTCTCGCCCCAGCGCTCTATCCTGCGGTTTGGCCCCATAAACGTTTAGTTTCTTCAGTTATCATCGCCTCATCAATTGTCATTCGGGACAATATAGTCGTAAAAAATGATAAATGCTAAAAGATCTAGTTAAGCGAGAAATATTTCCAGTGTGCGTAGGGGCTGTCTGACAAGGGAGTTCATATTAGAACAAAAGAATAGGTGATCATCCACGAGAACTCCCGAATATCGTACTAATGTGGTTCGACTTACAATTTATTTTTTTAGATTACACGCAAAAGGTAAGGCAAAAGGTAAGACATAACTTGGGTTTTGCGAAAGTTTAAAATTAAGTTGTTGGATTCGCACCATTATTGTACTGTACAGAAATCGTCCTGTAGTGAAGTGCAGTCGATAATATATTTCACCTCCCGAAACAGCTTAACATAATTTGCAAACATAAGTACCTGAAAGTGTTTCACGGACGACATCAGGTCGTTTATAAAAAAAGATAAACAACAAAGAACCGTGAGGCACTCCCGACAAAGGCATAGAAGGGCGTGACAAGCAGTGGTTCTGTCTAGGGTGCCTTCATGTGCGCTTTGCTTAGGGTGGAGACATCTGGCGACTTTGTCCCACACTTTCATTTTTATTTCTTGTACAGAAGCGCGTGAAAGAGCGTGTCCCTGCACGCGTTTGTGGCGCTGACTGTGCTATGGCGACATTTCTTTCCGTCGATTTTTTTTTTTTTTTTTGTATTTTACCCGTGAGCTCGTGCTGTCGGCGTCGGGTACTACGAAGGGTGGCATCACTCTGAACAGAAGGACATTGAGGCACCCTAGTTCTGTCTTTAATGCAACTAACTCGCGAAACAAGCTATGTACTCGGGACTAAGACCGTAATTCCTAAGTTTTACCAATATTAGGTCATGATTGACCCTGTCAAAGGCGCTGGACATATCCAAGTATACTGAATCTACCTGACCGCAACTATGAACAAATGACATAGAACAATTAAAAAATGGGCACAAATTTGTTTCAACAAATCTGCCTGCGAAAAGCCCATGCTGCACAGAGCCTACCTTTCTTTTAAAGTAACTATACAAGCGACCGTATATCCCCTTCTCACACACTTTTGAGGATGCATTTAAAAGAGATACGGTACGATAATTGCTAACATCGCAACAATTACCAGACTTAAAATCGTAACGACAATTGAATGATTCCAGTTTTCAGGAAAGACACCATGCCCTTGTGACAAGTTCAACAATTTGACAAGAATAGGAGCGAAATTTCTCGGCAGCCCTTTACAATCAAATTAGAAACACCTTCAGAATCTGTAGATAGTTTATAATTCAGTTTTGAAGCGCTTTTCGATGTAGAATTTAAATTAAACATAAAGTGCAAAGAATCGCCTCCATATATATTTAATGATAAACACGTAATTAACCCTCTAAATCCTTATAAAGCTACCATAGCTTGTAATAATTTCCAGTCACTAAAGCAGCAGCACTGTACCATTTTATGTCACATTTCAGCCGTGTGAAATCGAGCACTAGTGTAGCAGTAATGTCGACCACAGAATGAGAACGCTTTTAAATGCACAATTGTGAAATTTAATAAAGTTGACCTTAAATTAAATTAAACCTGTATGGAAGCTACCTGAGGTTACACAGTAATGAGGTAATGGCCTGAAGCTAACTTCTGGAGATTTACTTTTCTTATAAGCCGATACAGATTAAGAATTTCAGTGTGGGACACGTCTTCATGGACACTGAACATTCTAGAGGAAATCACCGCACTTTGGGAGAAAGACACCATAAGACAAACTATATTTGCCTGCTGGAGCCAGATTGCATGGGAAATTGCTTCACATCCAACTGAACGTTGGGCCACGAAAATATGTACAATAACCATAGAGAGGGCAAGGCATACAAGTACAATAAAGCAATCATGCTACGTAAACAAAATACGCCCCCCCCCCCCCCCAAAAAAAAAAAGAAAGAAATTACTTACAGCGTTTTTTTTTTTTTTTTTTCATATTTCTTTTTATTGCAAAAATGAACTACACATTGCCGAACGCTCATTCTCCGTCCAAATGTATAAGCGCTAGTGGTGCGAACTCAATGTTCATGTTTCAGAGCTCACAGTTACCTCATTCAAAAGTGATTAGTAATTCTCTAAAAATAAAAAATAAAAATACGCCACATTTCTTTTCCCCTTTTCTTTTTTGCTCTTTTTTGGTAACTGCCGCCGTTCAGCTCCAAATATACGAGAGCTCGGTCGACCGCCATTTCCTAATAAAAAATTCCAGAAAATCACTTATAACTTTTCAATAAAATATTGGTTAGTTAAAAAACTTTGGTATTTGGTTCGAACCGCTATAGGGCTACATTTTGGCGAAGAATGAGCGTTCGGCTATGCGTAGTTAGTTTCTGCGGTGAAAATATAACCGGTAATTTTTGGGGGACACCCTGTATGGGACCGGTCCACTTAAGAAATATGGGAAGTTTGCACTAAACGTAATGACGGGACCATACTCAAGGTATGGTCCCATCATTGTGCGTTGTTCTACAGAAAAGTAATACATACCTCACATTCATTACAATGCTGTTACAAAAACACGGAACTAATTTTATCAGCAATAAAGATGTACTATCGCGAAAACTGGCGAGGAGGTCGAACTATAGGGACGCTACGTCCGGCTTGTTTTCTCCAGAGTGCTGTGTTTACCAACACAATAAGGCACTGGTTTCATTACTTCCTCGTTTCCAATTGAGCGCGGGGAAAAGATTGGGCAGGAGTCGTGCCCCAATTTTTACTGCTTCCGTGTTCAGCTTCACTGACTGAATACAAGCACCAGCCAAACGCTGACGCCATGTTCGGTTACGTGGGTCGAGCGCTGCGTCAGAATACAAACAAATATACTACTTTCTTGTTGATCCCCATCGGTGTAGTTCTCAATTTAGCCACCAGGGGTGTGATGGTTGGATGTCCTTCCTATCTAGCCGTTCCCCCGTTCCCTACCCCCAGCGCCACATAGCGGGCGCACTCGGAAACTCCGCGCATGCCCCGCGCGTACCCTGTGCGGCGGAATTACTTTTCCAGGTTGTGATCACACTCTCTACCTGTCACCTTCCAGGCGCAAAGGAGACGCCGCCACAGCACTTGCCGATGTTTGCTTCCAGGCTTTTGTGGATGCCTCCTTCGTTATACGATGATTCCCTGACTGGCGGAAACGAGTCAGCCAAACAACCATGCAAAGCGACATACCGAGCTAAGCATAATCGTTGCCGATGATTGATACATATCTTGGTAGATTATTTTTTATTAGTCAAACAAAAACCATTTCACGTTCTTGCTGCGTTAATTACGCTAAGATCGGTATGTCCCGTTCGTTGGACGTTTCGCTGACTCGTTTCTGTGAGTCAGTGCATCATCGTACCAAAAGAGGCACCCACAAACGCGTGTAAAGCAAACATCGGCAAGTGCTGTGTCTTCTTTGCACCTAGAAGGCGACAATGAGAAGGTGCGATCGCAACCTGGAAGAGCGATGCCGCTGCAAAGGGTAGGCGGGTTAGGCATGATGTTTCAGAGTGCCCCTGCTATGTGGCGCAGGGGATACGGAAAGCGCCCGGCTGCCGTGTTATAGCTAAGAGTGTTCGTAATAGTACACAAACTGCCTCGCTGGAATAATTTATGAACTAAACTGTAGAGTTCCTTGACGTTTGCATGTATAATCTTTGTCCAACGTTCTTGTGGCAATGCTAACAATGCCCTGGTGTTTTATTGTACTCCCACAGGACAATGATGAAACGGAAGGAGGGCCAAACATCTCGGAGAAAACGGAAATGTTTTCCATCCCGCTGAACGCTCAAACCAAAGTGGAGTGCAAGATGGACGACATTGACACCGTAGAAGTTGTAACACATTACCAAAGGGACCTTTCTGAAAAGCTACCTCTACAATGCTACGGGAGTGTGCTATAGCCGGCGACCCTTGTAAATAATGATCTGAGTGATAAAAAGTTGATTTTTGTATTTCACTGGTGTCGGTTGCATATCAGGCGTTCAAAAACATTTTTATTACAAGGAATCTTTGTCTGCTTGAGGGATAGTCAAATAACCACCTCAACCCTCGCAGTGAAACAGGTCAGAAAATAACAAGCATCCTTAACATTACTAAATATTCTAGAAAGATGTTCAGGAGTGTTTGCTTGTAGCCATATATAAACAATGATTTTCTTTGGGGTAGGGACAACATAAAAAATTTCGGTGCTCGAGGACTTCTCGGGGGCTCTCCGATCGAGCCTCTGGGTTTCTAGGAACCCAGTTTAAAACCCCATTGTTTGAAACGGCGAGTTCGAACGGGTTCGAACTCACCGTTCGAACGGCAAACGCGGGACGCTGGCGTTCGAACGCGTTCCAGCAAGAGTTTGGTGTTCCGACGACCCCGCGCGTTTTCATCTCCTCCTCTCTTTCAATTCCTACCCGTGTAGCGCGATGCAAGATGTGTGGGTTGCTGGCGTTGGCCGAACGCCTCAACTGCGCCCGATTCCGCAGTTGCATTTTTCCACTTTCCGATGCCTTAGCACTCGGAACCCGCAGCGTCCAACTGTGCTCCAATCGGCTGATCAACTTCAATACAGAGCACACAAACGGTTGTCAAGGTTTTTTCTGTTTAATTTTTAGCTACTAAGAATGCAATACGGCGAGAAAGTGTTCTAATATGCCCCTTTGACTCATCGGAACGTGAAGAGTACACCAATCAGAGGGCAATACAGAGAACGTCTAGAAAACGTGCGGAGACTATGCAGCGAATTCGCTCGCGCCATCGCTGGTTCAAGTCGGTGGCAAACAAACGCACGACGTGCGCGAAAAGCAGACGAACCTGCACGCCGTATTACAGCTCTTTGTTTGTTACGCACGTCAGATACAGGCGCCATTTTCACGGACTACTACAGCAACGGCCTATGTGCGACGACCGTTAAATTTCATAATGTATGTAAAAAAAGATATGTCAACCTGTAAAATTATATTTTTATGTATTTTTGGATGAGAAAAAAGTTTTAACATTCCTTTCTGAGCAAATCTCGTATTTTGCGTTTCATCTGATCTTTATTCATTCATTCATACATTCACTATCCCATGTAGGGAAGCTGACAAAGTTTTTGAGAAAAAAAAAAACGAGAAATTTAAATTTTAGCGTATTTTTTTGTCATGGGAATTTGAATATCACAAGCATTTGCCCCGAACGTATCAATTGAGGCGAGAAAACTCGCAAAACCAGCCTCTGGGTGCGACGTAATATTCTGAATCTTCATCTGCCTTGCACACGCCGGTTTCGAGGGAACCCCTTCGGCGTTTTTGACTGCTCGGGTTACGCTTGGAAAAGAAACGGATATGTTTACATACCTTTATAAAACGTCACATCTCCCTCGTCCACACAACAGCGCTATTCTGAAAGCGGTGTTGTGCCTTGGTGCATCGATCTGAAATATAATTTTGACATTTATAATTCTGGAGGTCAAATGAAAACTACCTCAGTGTTTTTTTTTTTTGTTTTTTTTTTTTATACAGATCTGCTTCAGCCCGGCAGGGAAGATCTCACATTAAAGGAGCTGTGCAACGATATTCAATTGGAATGTTTTTCACTTTACACGAACTTACTGGCACTAGTGGGACTCAAGGATTCTCGCACGCAACGCCACTGCCCAAGAGACGCCTTGGTTGCCGTGTAATTTCAAGGACAAAAGTGATCATTTTCGTTCAATCTCTCCTTAGCAAAATTTGATGACGTAACGTGGAGATCGCAGTACACCCATGTGACGATATTTGAATGCGGTTCATAGACTGGACCCGAGCATTTCGTAAACACTCGATTTGGGCTCGTGATAATTACTAGCTCGAGAAGCATTCGGGTAGTCGCCCGTGTCCAATCGCTGCAACGAGAATAGCCGAGCCATAACGATGTCTGAAACTCAGCGCGTGTCGTGTGCTTTGCCAACCCCGACGCGTGGCTATGATCAACATTGGCGGCATATAATCGGCTCCAGATCACGTGGCCGCTTGTTCTGGCTGTTAGTTGAGGGGGTAAACGCTGCTCGTTTTTCTATACTTTTTTCCGGGACTTCTATTGTGTGGGGTGAAAAACGAACGCTTGTTTTCTAGGTCATTAGCGCCAGGGATCCGTTTTAAGCGGTATTTGCGCAATGTACAAAAATTGTTGCATTGTCCCTTTAAATAAAAGAGATTTTCTAAACTGCTCAAAAGTTAGTACCATCACCTTCACAAAACCAGGTGACCGCCCATAAATCACCGGATAATACAGAAAACACCATATTACGTCGCTTTTGTAAACAAAGCATTTTCTCATAAAAATAGAACATCCAGACTAATGAAATACATGGTAGTCTATAACTGTAAGCCCGTTCAACCACAATCGTAAAAATCTGTGCCCATGAAATATTCCTGAAGGTGCCACATTAAAAAATTTTCATTGTTGATTAGGCCATAAAAATATCATTTAAATATATCCTGCAGTGTGTTTGTACCCATTTTAAATTTACATGACTTGCAGGTAACTCATATATAGTGACACAAAAGTATTTAGAATATTTTAAATAATACAAGTAAACTAAAAGAAAAATCACTTTAAGAAGCAGTTCAAGTTACACAAGTTATGCTTCATTTCGATACTCTAAATTAGGCGGGCTAAGGTGATCATACATAGAGCTCAAAGTTAGAAGCAAGTTTTAACAGTGCAGAAAATCCTCAGATGATCTAATAAGCAAAGAATCAAGGATATCTGCTCCAAGTAACAATGTCACGTGCATCTGTCCATACAGTCCTGATTCTAGATGCGAATGTCTTCAATACCCCGTCGTTTGTGAATGGTATCAGCATACCCTTAAAAAAACGCCAGCGTTTGCCATTAAACAAGGTGACTCATTCGGAACGGACTCAACTACCCTCCTTTCAGGACCCCTTAATGGTGATAGACCTACACACCTATCTCTTAAAACAGTCCTTTAAACCAAGCCTTATAGCACATTTCAGCCCCCCCCCCCCCCCCGGCCCTTCTCTGTGTCCCAAGTTACGGACGTCCAGGCCACCTCAACCATCCTCGAAAGACATTTCCTGGATACGCCACTGTAACCATGTAACCAATCTGCACTGTGCACGTGCATAGCCGGGGCTTACGTTTCAGTGTAACAAATCGTGGTCACTATCTTTATCTGAAACAACAAGTCCGTACCGCGCTATTATAGAAGAAATCTTGCAATCCCATTCGGCATGTCTTAAAGATAGTACAGCTAGCTCAGAAAAGATGACCGGCTTGAGACAGGTGATTACCTTGTCTTTGCATGTCGAAAATCAAATGCACACCTTGCAAACTAAAACCCCATCTGAACGTGAGAAGTGGAGACGTTCTCGTACGGGACGCCTTTTTTGCACGTCAGCAGGGCGCAGTTACGTGACAACAGGAATCACGTGACCAACTACGTGCTTTCTCTCTTCCCCCCCCCTTTTTTTTTCCCGGACCAAAGTTCCCGTTTTTATTTTGAACGAGTTCGTCATCCTCTCCGGCGTTTCTGTCTCTCTCTGCTTGTGGTTTCTTTTTTGTGACCTTTCTGCTCGTCCGTTTGTTTTTGTTTCTTTGTTGTTTGTTTTGGAGGGGCAGGTGGAGGGATTTTTGCGAAACAAAACAAGAAATAGAAAAAATTCTGAGCAGCAGCAGTGTTGAATAAAACGACAAAGAAGCCGTGCTCCGGAAGTACATGAAACATCTCGACAAGATTAACACAACAGAATTTGTTGTAAAATAAATTTAAAAAAAAAACTCCCGAGTTCAGAGAGTAATAAACCCTACAAATGTCTAGACGAATGCTTTGTACAGTCTCCGGCAATATGAAAGACCCATTGGGAGCGCGTGGCCGAGGCGGTGGCTGGCGGGGGCGCTGCGAGCGCTCCGGGCAATTCCATTCTGCTTCGAGAAAAGGACGCTCACTCGGGCTCAGCTAAAGCGAAACGCGCTTATCAGATTGTGCTGAGCTTCGAGTGAGCGTCCTCCCCTCGAAGCAGAATGGAATTGCCCGGATCGCTCGCAGCGCCCCCGCCAGCCACCGCCTCGGCTACGCGCTCCCAGTGGGTCTTTCATATTGCCCGAGACTGTACAATTTGTAGAGAAGTCAAAGCCCGATATTCTAGATCGCATAATCATTCATTGGGCTATTAGTTAGACGCACGGTTACCATATAGCAATAAAATATGCAAAAACAAAAGTGGAAACGCAAGTAGACAAAAAAATGTAAGACTGCACTTATTAGCTTGCTGCATGTCACCACTCACCGAGATGTAATTCTTCGGTCACATCTATTCTCCAGAAAAAAAAAAAAAAAAAAAGAAGTTTACTTGAAAAAACCATGGGAAAGAAGATAATCGCGCTTCTTAGACCCGCAGCCACAAAGGAAGATTTTAACTTAGCTTTGCCGGCGACTGGACGTTAGCGCAAAGATCACACATTATAATTATAATGCAATTAGATGCAAAGGGGCAAGCGAGCTGGACGATAATGATGAAAATAATCCCTGGAGAAGGGGAACAAGAGGGACAAGGGACAAACATAAATCTCCAAACACAGCTAGGTGACTGGTGAGCGACCGAAAAAATCCGCCTGGTCCGGGTATCGAACCCGGGTATCGAACCCGGGACCTCTCCATTACAAGTGGAGTGCTCTACCAACTGAGCTAACCAGGGGTTAGACGTCAGTAGAGCAAACGGGTTTTATCAGCTGCCACCAGTCTAACCTTGCAATGTAACGTTATAATTATAATGCAATTAAATGCAAAGGGGCAAGCGAGCTGGACGATAATGATGAAAATAATCCCTGGAGAAGGGGAACAAGAGGGACAAGGGACAAACATAAATCTCCAAACACAGCTAGGTGACTGGTGAGCGACCGAAAAAATCCGCCTGGTCCGGGTATCGAACCCGGGACCTCTCCATTACAAGTGGAGTGCTCTACCAACTGAGCTAACCAG